AATAAATTTCGATATAAAATTTAAAACTTGAAAATCGAAAGAGAAACATTTCATTATTAAATAAAAAAAGAATGAGTTTCGTTATACATTATTGAAATTTAATGATAATGAAAAATAAATTACTATAGAAAATCTACTACTAATATATTCTTTCAAAGAACAAATCTGTTATATTGATCAGAGATGAAATATTAAATAAAGAGAAGAGATTCTAATTTCTACGTGATATACGACATATAGTATAGATAATATTTATTTGAACATAGAATTTTCATTTTCTTCAATATCATTATCATCGATAGAAGTAAAAGAAAATGTAATTTTTACAAACAAATTATTGAATTACTTTTATTATCTATTTGGATTTTTGTTTGTTATCGATTTTATTTTGATCACTAGATTATTAGTGACCGCAATGTAAATAATCGATGTTCATATTCTTTTCGTTATGTGGTACTTCTAAAAATTAGAATAAATCTATCGAATAAAATTTGATTCATCTAATATCATGTAGTCATTTTGTTTTTTTTATTTAAAGTACTTTCGTGCAAAAGATTTATTAAATGTTTTCTTTTTATATTATAATTATGAAGAGATAATAAGATTATTATATAGACAATACGTGAAATAAGTCGAAACATAAAAATATTTTCTTAATTTATCTAATTAAAATATTAAGACAAGAAGAAAAAAAACATGATGATAAAGAAGTTGTCTTGTATTAGCAATTTCCTTTTTTTTCTTTTAGAATTACAGATTTGTTTCAATATAAAAATTTGTACGCAATGCTCTAATGAAAATTGTAACTAAAATCATAGTATAATCATATTTCAAAATATAGAAAAAAGAAACTTATAGATTTTTTTAACCGTTGAAAAAAGATATGAATAAAAGATTTTTCTTTTCAAGTTCTTCTTACAAGCTTTCTAATAAAAAAAAGGACATTCAATCTAATATCAACAAAGTGAATGTTTCATTTCTAAAAAAAACTCATTCTAATCGAACATCAACTACATTAGATTATAAGATTTATGTTTGTAATTTTCTTTTTTTTTTCATTAAAAATCTAAATATGTTTTAATTGTACTTTATAAGGTAATTTTATTTTGATGGAAAAACTTATAAATAGAATTTATATTATATAATTTTCAGTTCATAGAACTAAACTATCTGAAAAGTTTTGAGAGTGACATTTTTATTTATTTTTTTTTTTTTTTTTTTTTTTTTGTAAATGAAAGTGTCATTTACAAGAAAGAATTAAAATTGTTTTCTATAACTATAGAAGTATTACTTTCAAGGTAGAATAAAGATTTCTAATGACTGAAAGTATTATTCACTAGAACATAGTAATAATTTTTTTGTTTTGAACGATTTAGTTCTAAGTAACGATCGATTAGTACCCAAATCAAAAAATGAAATCAAAGAAGTATACGAACTATTTGAGTTTCAGTTCGTATGAAAAATTAGAACTGTTCTTAGATTTTAATTATAGAAATGAAATATAGAGCATATTGACAAAAATATTAAAGATAAAGTAAGTGGATGAAAAAAAAACAAAAGCAAGAAAAATATCGATTGTAAAAAAAAAAAAGAATAGAATAGAAAAACAAAAACAGATTTATATTCATTATCTTATGGGGAGTAATATGTATAATTAGATAATCTTTTTCTTTGTTTAACCTTGTCCGGTCGGATGTTGCCAAATGGCAACATTTTTTCCTATAGGAATACGGCGTTTTTTTAAATAGTCGATCCGAAAGGGTTAAAACAAAAAAAAGTTCGTTCCGAACAATATTATTGATTATTTTCAATTTTTTGATCTTACCAATAGAGTTTTTAACAGTTAATTTTCAAATTAGTTCTATATTCTTTTAAATAATGGCTGTTTAATTATTTTTATCATTGTAAATAACGTCTGACGTATTAGTTAATACTCAATTTTAATTTTATATCGCCTACTTTATTATCAAAAATATATCAATTTTCATATAGTTGCTTTTCTACGCAAAGAAGCTTTTCAGATTGGCTAGATTACTTTCAAAAAAAAATCCTATAAAATAAATCATATAGATTCTTATTCAAGTAAAATCTATTATAAAAATATAATGTCTACTGTTAAATAGGAAGTATAAAATTCTTAGTCATAATTAACTAATATTTGAATAAAAATTTATTATGTCTAGACTCGTCTGTTGTTGTTTTTATTTGTTTATAAATTTTGAATAATGTACTTGTAATATTTTAAGCAAACAATAGCTGAAAAAAAAAGAACACTTTAACCTTAGAAAACTTAGACTTCAATATAGTTAATTTATTTAACTTTTTTCTAAACTGATGTTGCTCATATGACAATATCTTTTTTTTTTAACTATCGACTGAAAAAATGATAAATGATATAGTATGAAATTACGTTCTTTTTTAATTCTATAATAAATATAAATTTGCACAATAAGAAAATAGTTGTTTTTTTTTTTTTTTTTTTATTCTCAGACGAGTTTATCAGAAGTAATTTTTTAACTTTTAGATTGTGTCTGTCGGTAACAGATGAGACATAGAGAATAATTTTTTTTTTATTTTTATATGATTAAGACATTCTCAAATAGCTTTTTACTTATTTTAAGTAGGTTTAATTATTTTTGTTTTATGAGACTCATCATTCAGTTATTATTTACGAAAATAAAGGTTTGTTTTTTCATTAATTTACTTTATTTTCATGTTATAAATGTTTGGTAGCACTGATAATAAAGTTTATTTTAACAAAAAAAAAACAGATAAGAAACATGCATGTATAAATATATTTTAATAGAATCATGCAATATAGAAGACAATACATAATTTGATTAAGATGATGAGATAATCATAGGGTTATTTCGATAATAATCTTAAATTTCAATTGTTTTTATTTATTATTAGTCAATGTTATAGAAATTATTACTTTATAATATAGATCACTGTTCATTCGACTTTATTAAACGAAGAATAATGTTTGTTTAATAAGAAGAAGTTGACTAAATCAAATTTGAAGAAGTAAGCTATTGGAACAATGTTTGTTCTATTCTATTTCTTTTTTGAAAAAAAAGCATTTCTAGGTACAAGAAAAAAAAAAATGCTTGCCGAGGTCAAAAAAACAATATGTAAGACCTCGCTAGACTAGATGAAATTTTATAAAAAGGTCTTCGTTTTGGAAATCTTAGATTAATATTGAAATTTATTCGAAAAAAACAATTTAAATACAAGGATTAAATAAAGTTAATAATTATGATAAAATTACATTTTTTTATTTTTATTTTTTAAGAATTATAATAATTAGTTCTGATATTTGAAATTTATTTTCTAGAAAATATTTTTTTTTCAATAAGAATTTTAAAATTAATATAAAATTTTGTTTATTTTTTGATAAGATATAAAAATATTTATTTTCTTAATTACAATTTCAAATATTAAACGTAAGATTAAGGTAATATCATATCAATCGAAAATAAAAGGTAGGTTACTATTTTTTCGAATAACTTTTTAAAGGAACGAGATACAAAACCTGCGATTTTCACTATTCGAAAGAGTACTGTTCGGATCATCGGTCGGTTAAGAATTCATTAAGACGAAAGACGTTTTTTTTTTTTAATAGGTATTTACGGATCAACATTTTTTTTCTTTGAATACACTCATCCAATTTTCATAATAATCTCAACTCATATTATGTCAAAATATAGTTCAAATCATCCTTTTTACACTATAAGATTATTACATATTTCATGTTCTCTCAACCTTTTGTTCTAAGTGAATTTTAGAAATATATTATAGCAAAAAACAAAAGGAATGATTTGGGCTATATTTTGAAATAATATGAGTTGATATTATTGTTAAAATTGATGAAAATATTCAAAAGAAAAAATGTTGATCCATAAATATCTATAAAAAAAAGAAAGCATCTATCGTCTTCATGAGTTCTTAACCAACCGATGGTCCGAAAATTGTAGTTCTCTATCTTATTCTTATAAAGAGTTATTCGAAAAATAGTTTAGATCATATAATACAATTAACTATAAATATTCCAAAATAGTTTAAATTTTCAATCTTCTTGCATACAAATATATACGCCTACTAATGTTCATTATGCTTATAAAGACATAATTATTGTCATTATTGAAAAATGAGACATCGTGATAAAACGGTATTTAAAAAAAAAGAAGAAATTAACCGACATTTACATAAACTTATTCAAGAAATAATTAATCTATTAATTATGAATAGTAATTCATGTCTAGATCTCTTAGCTCAGACAATAATGAATAAATCTAAATTTAAGAATTTCAAGTTTATTCTTTCGTAGTAATTACTCGTAAAATGCATTCATTCACTCTTAACTCGATAAATTTAAATGTCACGACATAGTGACTTATAATTGCTGCAAAAAAGATAATAACCGGATGTTTCCTAGATGACACAAGAAAGAATTCATTATGATCTGTAGTTTAAAAATAATTTATATTCTTCTCATAAATTCTTTGTTTTGTTTTGCTTTTTAGTAATCAAACTATATTAAGTTTGACATTAAAATACAATGGCTCTTCGTATTCTCTCATTATGTCTTTTTATCTTTATGGTATGTATATTTTCAATTGAATCATCACCACTAATAGATGATATTCTTATTGAAAATTATCCAACACCAAATCTTTCTCATACATCATTACCTACAATACATCAATTTAATTTTATTTCATTAATATGTCAACAACAAGAACAATATCCAATGCGATTAACGAAAAAATTATGTTCACACTATATTCAACCATACAAAATCCAAGAAGAAAATGAAGAACAACAACGAAATAAACGAGTTGGATGGACAATTAGCGTTTAAAATAAAAAAAAAGAAAAAAAGAAATTAGACATTTAAAATTCATGTTTTTAGTCTTTTTTTTTTGAAAAACAAAAATAAAAAAAGAAACAAAGACGAAAAATATGAATCAAAAAAAAAGGAAAAAAATTCATAGAATTTACAAACATGATCTTTTCATACGTTGTTGTTGTTGTTGTTTATCTGGAATAATAATACGATTTCGATTAGAAAGACTCATTTGTTGATGATAATGATGATGTTTATTCGTATTTGAATTTACTATACATGATATACGAATATTTTTTAATCTCCATAAATCACTAAGAAGTCTTCGACATTCACGTCGAAATGCTCGACCAGTTAAACAATAAAGTACAAAATTAATCTAAAAAAAAACAACGATTTCAAATAACAACACAAAAATAACATGAATTTCTTTTACTGCATGATTTAAATACATTAATATAGTTAATATTAATTGTGTTATTTGCCAATATGTTGTTGATGTATGACGATATCCAGGAATAAATTCAGCTAATAAATGACGTATTGATATAGGTAATGTACAAAGAACAAATATAAATGATATAACTAATAATGAACATGTTAAACGTATTCCTGTTGCACTTGTTGAATCAAATAATATTCGTTGTGATTTTCGTTGAAAACCATTTTTATTTAAACCATTATGATATAAACGACCATGAGAAATAAATGAACGAGGAGCAGGTGTTGATTCTAAAAATATATTAATAAATAGATTAAAATTAGAATTTTTATGATGTAATTGAAGGGTGTTTTTTTTTGTTCTTCTTATGCAATTAGAGAAAAAAAATATTAAACGAGGTTTTTATGAGAGTTAATTGATTTGTTAAATTTTTTATGACTTATTCAAATCATAATGTCGTATAATCTTATCTAAAATGAAGTGTATGACTTGTTAGATGTTCTAATCATTTTATAACGTAATTTTAAGCAAGATTTTCATGTTTTTATCAATTTTATTTTGAACTAGACTATAAATTTGATTTGAGTTCAATTATTTGAAAAAATTATCTTGATAGAATTTTTCAAAAGATTAGTTTTTTTTTTTGTCTATTTAAATATTTTTGATCGAAATTTTGATATTATATTTAGTATTTTGTTTTAAAATATTACATTTGAAATTACTAACCTACTGATCGACTACGAAAAAATGGTGTACGTATTGATGATGAACTTTTAGTTTTTATATTTGGATTTCTTTGACTTGTATTCATTGTTGGTAAACAACTACTTGCTTGTAAATATGTTCTTCGTTGTTTAATAGCATAAAACATTGTTGAAATAATTAATGTATTAAATATAATAATTAATAATGATGGTATAACACTATAAAAACATAAATCAATAGAAGAAAATAATCGTTGATATTTAATAAGATCACAAACAATAAAATCAGGATGATAACCATAATCTGTTTGCATTATAATAGGTCTTAAATTCATAGTAAAAAAACAATGTGATGCATAAAATGAAAAAAATATAAAGATAATTAATGTTATACCATATGCAACATGCATTCGACATATATGAATAGATTGAAATGGAAAACGTACAACTATAAAACGTTCAAATGTAACAGCAACAATAAGCCAAGCAGATAAATAAGTAAATAAATGTCTTAAATAAAAACCTATACGGCAACTAAATTTGGAATATAATTCTGGATGATAATTAAAACCAATATCAAATATAGATAAAAGTCCACCAGAATAGAGTACACATATGTCTGCAATAGCTAATAATGCTAAATAAAAATAAGATGAAAGACCACGACGTGAACGTCGAAACATAATTGTTGCTGATAACATATTTCCAATAAGACCACATATTAGAAAAGAAATTAATATTATTGTTGCTATCCATTTTCTAACACCTTGTACACCTAAATATGGTTTTGGTTTACAATGTGATGAACGTAAAATTGCCATAATAGCATTATGTGTCATATTTTCGGATTCATTATCTGATATATTTACATATTGTAATAAATTTTGTAAAGATTCACATGTTACTGAACTAAGTAATTGTGAAATATTTGTATTATTGGTCATTATTTGAATATGAAGAAAAATTGAAAAATTTTTAATCTGAAATAAAATTCTATCGAATCAATAATATAAAAAAAATAAAAAGTCATCTCATTATAATAAACAAACCTTTAGTTTATATATTGTTAAATAACAACAAGTATCTCACTCTGTTGTAAATCATTAGTACGTTCTTTTTTTATTTTCGATAAGAAAAATATATATATAATTACAATACAGAAGTGATCTACTGATGATAAAGTGCAAAAGCAAAAAACAAAAAGAGAGAGAGAGAGAGAGATATTTGTATATTTGTGCAACATCACGAACATACTCACAGTTGATTTCCTCAATTTGCTTATGTATGCATTGGCGCAAATTGGAGAAATTGACATGCATGTTTATACGAAGGAAAAAAAATAGAAGACTATGAAAACAATCCATAGTGCACTAGAATAATGATCATGATGATGATAATAATGTAGGATGCTTGTTATTAGGTATTGTTAAGGAAAAAACAAAGAATAATTTCGAAGATTGATGTTTTAAAAATGTAATCAAATGAAAAAAAAACACACACACACACACTTCTTAGAAATATAGTATATGTTATATTTATGAAAAATAAAAGTTAATTATATATATTTTATTACTCACTTAAATCTGCAAATGAAAGATATTTAAAGAAATAAAAATAAGACAACTAAGTACAATATCTACTTAGTTTCGAGGTTGTTGTTTTCAAATATTTATACCTTTTCTCTTTGCATATATTGTAAATAGTTACATTTGATAATCAGTTTTTTTTTCAGATTAAAGAATATACACAAGACATATTTGTTCAATGAGTAAGCTAAATAATATTACGAAATCGTGGAAATGATCTATATTAATACATTAATAACATATATATAATTGCCATTGATGACATCAATAAAAAATAGGCTTATCGGGTGTGTATGGCAGAGAAATAAAGTGAGTATTATGTCGCTTTTTTTCGTCTAGGGTTATACAACTCGTGATATAAATATAAAACATAAGAGAAGATTTATTTGTGCTTGAAAAAAAAGTACAAACGATCATAAATGGAAAGGTACATGTTCTATCATAAATAGATTTATATATAGAATTGAACAGAAAGCTATAATCCTTGCTATTATTATTTCAGTATGTCGTCACATTTCCGCATATAGTTTAATTTTGTTGATTCCGTTTTGTTTTGTTTTTTTTCGATAAAAATACTGATAATAATGTCGATGAATAAATATTGATAAGAATCTTTAGAATTATAACTTTTATCAATTGATATATATATGCGAAATGAAATATTTAAATTTTCTTTAATGTTATATTAAAATGAAATTATTTTTAAAAAATCTTTTTTTTTGATTTATCAAATGAAAACAATTCATATACATTAAATTATACATTTCTAAAATAATAGTAGATTAAAAATTGATTGTTTTGTTTGTCAATATTAAATTTTAATGTAGATATACATTTTGTTCAAAAGTAAAGAAAAAAGTATATTCTTTTTTTTTCTTTCTTTCTTTTAATTTTTACTGTCAATAAGACAAGAAAGAAATGTGTCAATGGCAACAGTTAGTCTACGTAGATTTTTATAATGCTGAGTACGGCACTAACGTGAACAAAAAAAAAAGTCCTACGGTAATGTTTTTATGTATTTGTGTGTTAGCATTATGACGCTGTTCATTACCAAGAGAAAAAGAAAAACTGACGAACAGAAAAAGAAAAGACGACTGTTTTTCACAGTAAACTTCATAAGCGCAGTCACCAGCATTCATATTTTTTTTTGTTTTTTATTAATTAGAATAGTTGCATTTAAGTCAATAAAAAACTAACTATGAATGGAGCAGTTTTTATGTCTCAAGCTAATCAATTTTTGGGAAATAATATTATCAATCCTCAACAACAACAACAAAAATGGATGGATAAACCTATAGGTGATACAAATGGACTTGCTTATTTACGTTCATTAGATTCTTTATTAGCAAAACAAGTCGTTTCTATGACTGAATGTAATTTAAATCATACTATTTTAATTAATAAAAAATGTTTACTTACATTTTATTTTATTTTTTTCATAGTAATTATTGGAATTCCATCTCAAGCAAAATATGGAATATTCAATGATCGAGGAGAACAAGTTTATTTTGCATTTGAAGGTATATAAAAATTTGTATTGAATACGATCTTTTTTTTTGAAAAAAAACATACTTTTAGAATCTAATATTTGTCAACGTATGTATTGTCCTAAAACTCGTCGTTTTGATCTTCATATTGTTGATAATACAAATCAAGTAAATATTTTTATATATTATTATTTTTATATTAAATAATTATACTTAAGGAAATAATTCGTATTAAACGTAAATTTAAATGTTGTGCTGGTTGTTGTTGGTGTGCTTGTTGTGATGGATGTCGTCAAGAAGTAATTGTTGAATCACCACCCGGAACTATTATAGGTTTTGTTACACAAGAGTATGTTAAAAAAAAAAGATAAAACGAAATGATATTGATTAATAATAATTATTATTATTATTATATTTAGATGTAGTTGTTGGCGTATGAAATATATATTGAAAGATATTACAGAAAATCCTATATTGTCTATAATTGGTCCAGGATGTATTTGTGATGGTCCATATGCTGCTTGTTGTGAAAATAAATTTACAGTAAAAATTTTTAGTAATTGCAAAAAAAAAAACAACAACATACAGTTTATTTAATATTCTTAGTTATATGGTACTGATGGAATAACAGAAATTGGTGCTATTCATAAAAAATATCGTGGATTTATTGCTGAAGCATTAACAACTGCTGATACATTTACAATTCGAAGTAAAATAAATAAATATACATATTTAACTATGAATATTAAAATAGATTTTATTTTATTAGTGCCTATTGATTTAGATGTAAAAATGAAAGCTGTTGCATTAGGTGCATTATTTTTAATTGTATGTTCTGTTTTTGTTTTTTGGTTTTGTATTAGAAAAATTGTTTTTTTTATTAGGATTTTGCAAATTTTTCAGAACCACCTCAACGTCATTAATTATATATTTACATATGTTTTCAATCGTACAGTTTTTTGTTTAGTATCTCAATTAATCTTTTATAAATCATAACATATATATGTAAAATGTTGTTGTTGTTTATGAATAAAAATGATCTTTATTCGACATTCCATGGATATGTTATCTATAATAATCATGATTTATTTTAAATGTCATGTTTAGTAAAGAGAGAAAGATGGAAAACAAAAATATTTTTTCAACATGTCAAGATGATATAGATGAATTTTATTTATTAAAAAATATTTTCTTATTGATTTTAAAGAATTAATACGATCTATTAAGAAAATAGAGTAGTACTAGTAAATATCTTTTAATAGATTAGAAGTGTGATTCGATTACATTGAGAAAAAGAAAACAGTTCTAATCAAAACTTAATAAATATTATTAGAGAACGAGAGTTTGCCGACTGTCGGAAATGCTGTTTTAAATGAGCTACTTCCCGTTATAAACAATGAGTGTTTTTTTTTTGTCAGTTGAATAGTGTTATTGTCGATTTTTATCCTAACCATTTTGAAATCGAGTAGAAAATTGGTATATAGAAGTGCGATTATCTGGATACAGTAGTTCAATTTTTTTTTTGTTTTTCTGATAGTTCAGAATCGAGATTGAATACTTAGTACTTTCTACTTTTACGGATACAATCATCGAAAAATTCGAAAGTCAGACGTCGAAATTATTAATTTTCTAGACAAAAATTATATCAATCCTTTTCACTTAATTAATTTTTTAGGTTTTGCTTTTTTATAAAATACAATCTAAAAGATATATTAAAGTAGAAGAATAAAACTTCGAACCTTCCCTTTCCATAGATCATAACAGATATAATTATTAATATCTTTCTTTCACCATAGGTCTTGACAGATGTTGTTAATATACAATCACAAATCTTCTATCAATAACATTTTCTTCTAATACAAGAACAAGTTATTTGTTACATTTCTGAAGATATAAATAAAAATATGATAAAGATATGTGTCTCAACATAGTGTTAGAATAAAACAATCATCTTATAATTAACTATAGCAAATATATCGTGTTTCACATTTATATCTCTCGCAGGAATTGCACTAATCGTATGTTTTTTTTTATGTATTCCATCTGCAAACAACGTTTTCTTGTATTTATGTATTGAGTATGAATGAGACTATATATCAGTTTTAATGTAAAATTAGAAGTTTTTAATTAGGTCTATTCACATTTAGCATCAGTACACTATTATTCACTTGTCTTTTCTGAATAATGAAATAAGTATTATCTTTGTTTTTGGTTTATAAGACTATGAATGTATTTTTAGCTTCTCTCAATTAAGTCTGTCGTTTGATTCGGTTGTCTTGTTCTTTTTTTTCATCATTCATCAATATGTTAATCAAGAAGAATAAGATACAAAACAACTGAATTTCATTATAATCTATTTTTTAAAAGAATAAAAATTAAATGAAATTAGATTTAATTCTTTTTTTCCGAAGTGTCAAAACTATCATTGATGAAAGATATATTATTATAAATTTTTCTAATCGTGCTCAATATTTAAAATACCAAAAGATTTTATTTTTCATGAATGCTAGTTTTTTTTTTTTTTTAAACAAATACATTGTAAATATGTCTATTTTTTTCATCTTAATTCAATCGATTTAAAAATGATTGAAACTATTAACTAGTTTTTCCTCAATTATCATCTTTAAAAAGAACAGACAGTTTAAACTATCATACTGTATTTCAAGTCGTTGCCGACGTTTGGAATATCGGTTTTGTTTGTTTTTAATCATAATCCATCATCTAAGGTTATGAAGGATTTTTCATTATAAAGTAAACGGAACTATTTACAATTGGTTCCGGTGATAAACGAGAAATATTCTAATACTAGAATTTTGATTTTCTTTAAATATTGTCTTATTTATACTGTTTTATTGTTGTTATAATATAATT